ATTGGTCCCACAAATTCCTTTATGTTTATCCTCCTATTTGATTACTTCATCCGGTGGTCTCTCTCATCCATACCACCAACCTGTGTCAAGTCCTTCTTATTGCTCTGTATTGGCCAGCTCAGCTGTGGTTTCCACCATTATACAAACTGCAAACTTTCCCTCCAGTACCCCTTCCCTTGTCTCCCTCCCTTCTTCATCAACCTCGGTCACCAGTTCTATATCCTGCCATTCACGTCCTTTATCTTCATGCCTGGCTCTTATCTGGTCCTTGGCAAGGAGATCCATTTCTCCCATTGAGTAGCTTTCCTTTTGGCTTGTTCCATACATCCTTCTTCAGTGGAGGTGTATCAGCACAAATGGAAGATGTTCTACAGTTGGTCCGCTACTCGGGGATTCCCTGCTGACTGACCTACTGTGGTTCATGTTGCTGAGTTTCTCGTATGGCTTTTTGACCGGGGTCTTTGATCTCTTCAATTTTAGGTTATCAGACTGCCTTATCCCATACCTTTTGTTTTTTCTGATACCATCAAGTTTTTGCTTCCCCTGTCCTTACCATGTTAATGCATTTCTTCCAGATTGGTTGTCCCCCCCCCCCCATATGGCCTATTCTTCCAGACTTGATATTAATGTAGTCTTCCATTCCCTCACTTTACCTCCATTTGAATCTATTTCCTTGTGCTTCATGTTTCACCTTTCCTTTAAAACATATTTCCTTTTCCTCTTAGCCTGTGGACATCGAAGGCCTGATTTGTTCACCATTGACATTTCACATATGCTTTACCACCACACCTATCTCCTCCTTTATCTGGATCGTTCTTTCTTTCCAAAGACCTCAGTGGCTAGGGAGGGTAACTCCTCCTTTTTGCCTATTTCCCTTCCTTCTATTTCTCATTTCTACTCTTGTCCTGATCCAGATAAACTTCTATGTCCAGTCCATACCTTTTGTTGTTATATTGCTCACACAGATTTCTTCCGCGGTACCTGTTCCAGATTTTTTATCCCTTAACAGTCTTCCTCTATTCATGATCTACCCCTTTCTACCCTCATCAATTGTGTTTAATATTTGATTCAATTGGCTTATTCCTCCTTGTCTTCTTCCCACTGAAATTTGTTCAGGGTGTCTTTTCCCTCATATCTTGTCTATATCGGCCATTGGAGGAAATCCTCCAATCGAGCATGTGGACTACACCTAATACGTTCATCTCCCATTACTTACACCATATCGTGGTTTTTTTCTTCATCAGGTTTTCATCTCCCACATGTGGCTATTCTTCAAGTTTTGGTGCAACTTTGACCTTGCTTCATTTATTCGTTATAAGGGTCCCTCTCTGTGGCAAGTGGTGCCTGACAGGTATTCTTCAATAAAAAATCCGTGCTGTACAGCCATGTTGATTTGCGCTTTAACTTCCATGGCTTTGCAATGCTCACCCTTACCATTGAGATAGGGTGTTCCACAGTATTGCTTGTAGATAAATAACCTCACAGTGTAATTGCTTCATAAACTTGCTCATTCTGGACCGAACCACCCATGGACTGCATAGGTAAAGCAGAAGGGGATAGCTACCTTTTCCTGCCATGCCTTGTATTGAATAAATTGGTGTGGTCGATATGATCAGTCATTGCAGTGTCTCAGGTGATGATGTTTCTCCGGACTCCCCAATGTGTTCTCCCCCTTTCTTCCAGTGGAGCATGGGAGTCCTTACCAATTTCCAGTTCCAAGCTGCTAGAGTGGTCGACTGTGGAGGCTCCCTCTTAAATGGATTCCACACAAAGATGGTTATAAACATTCACTGCAGAGTAGGGCAGTGGTGTTCTGTGGGTGTAGATGACCTGATATCTTCCACTATGCATTATGCAATCACTAAAGAGTGAGACATCAAATTTCGATTGGGAGTTCTCACTCTACCCTTGTGTGGAGATCGGTATCCTGTGGCTGGGTTTTGAATTTAGAGTGGAACCAATCAACATAAGTCCTCATACATGCTTATGGTTGTCTAAATTCCTCCCTTGATTATACTCCTGTGTTGTGGATCACAGTGGAGGTAAATGGAATTGTTATGGTTCTGTCCTTATTGTTATCCCATTCTATATTATTCCAAGGATGTTATTGCTTTTTTGGATGGCTCCAGTCAGTTTTGCCACTGGGGGAGTTGATTTATATTTCATAGACATCCTTTCAGTACTGGATGTTGATTCCCCAGATCTATATATCAAATCTAACACATGCCATGTTCTGGAGTCAGAGTGATTCTTGAACTTGAGGTGAAGACGGTATGATCCTCATCCTACCCCCGCGTGGATGTCGGTTCCCAGCAGCATGGGTTTTGGATGTATTAGGTCATCAAGAAATTAATGACGCTTTTTTTAAAATGAAAAAATCTGAACAACTTATATATCAAAATATTTATTAAATGAAATAGTCTCCATTCTTATCGATGATGCTTCTCCATCTTACAATCAGGTTGTTAATGCCCTGATTAAAGAAATCATTTGGCTTTGAAGCAAAAACATGTCGATGTCCTTTTTAACACCTTCCACATTTGCATACGTTTTCCTATTATGATGGTGTTGCAGCGAACGAAAAAGATGGTAGTGTGATGGTGCCAACCCAACTCCATAACCTTGTGTTGCATCAAACATGCCACATGTGGACGTGCATTGGAGAAGAAGAACACCTTTCCTATTGAAGAGTGAAGAGCGCTTCTGATAAAGGGCTTGATTTAAATGTTCCAGTTGCTGACTATAGATCTCTGCATTGACAGTTTGCTGTGGATTGAGGAGTTCAAAATGAATTACTTCTTTGATGCCCACCAAATGCAAAGCACCACTTTTTGCAGATGGAATCCGGGTTTTGGGCCGGAATTGGTTTTTGTCTAGGACTGAGCCATTGGATTTAGGCATTTAATATTCACATAAAGAATCCATTTTTCATCACTGGTAACAATTCTGTCCAAAAATGGTTCATGCGTATTACACACCAGAAGAGACGAAGCAATGTTCACATGTTGGAAACAATGATTATTGGAGAGTTTGTGAGGCACCCAAACACCTGCTTTATGGAATGTTCTCATATTCCTCAGATGTTTACATATTGTTTTATGGGAGACATGCAATTTCAGGGCCATTTAATGAGTGTGTTTCCTTGGGTTAGACTCAACAAGCGTCTTCAGAGAATCCATATCAATTCCAACATTTCAGCCCCTTCCATCACAGTTTTTAAGGCCAAAGTCACCTGAATGAAATTTGCTGAACCATCGTTGACACTTACGAACGTTCAAAACCTTTCCATAAACTACTTTGATATTCTTTGTGGCTACAAAGACGTTGTTTTACTTCTTGTATTCAAACAGCATTACATGCTGAATGTGTGTCTCGTGTGCTATCACCATAAGGGATTAGAGTATACTAAACTTTACATATTCTATAGGCTGCGCTAATGTGATGTTTAGGTGGTTCATTTAACTATTATGCATGATGTACGTTTTTTGGGGGGGTAATGAAAGTGTTCCAAAATGCAACATTAATTTCTTGATGACCTAATACTTGACTTATGGAGTATGGTACGTCATGCCCTAGCCACTCTACACCTAGAGGCACATCCATTGATTTACCCACTTTCATACTTTGTGGGATTAAGTTACACATATATTTCAAGGTTAGGATCACTATCCTGCTTCAGTTCTCTCCTAATTGGATATGCTCCTTTCTTTTTTTGCCCTTATCTGTTACACACTTCATGGATGGGCAAAGAGTATACTTAGTTAGAAGTGGTGCAGTTCCCCTCATCAGATCTTTGGAGCTGACTCTCTCATTTCCAGTGGTATCCTTTGCATGCTTTTGGGGGGTACTTCTGTCATTCCCTACACCTAATCAATGTGGGTTTCTTGCTAATCTCGTGAGTGGAGGGAAGTACTGTATTGGAAGTTATTATTTTCCTATATTGAAAATGTATTTCCAGTATATACTTCCCTCTGCTCACACTTCCTCCCCGCTTTGCTCCGGTGCTTATGTCTTCTGTCAAACTTAGAAGTGTAGGTCAGTAGAGGCATATAGAGGGAGTCACATGCATCATGTATGTCACGCTCCTATTGGTGGAGAAGTGATGCATAATGATGTGAATGAGAGTCACGTTGGAATCATTTGATTCCAATAGGGGAAGCAGAAGGCTTGTGGCATGCGTCAAGCAGAAAAGTTTGCATATAGAGGGCAGCATTGGATGAGAATAGCTAATCTTATGAGCGGAGGGATGTACTTATAGGAAATACATTTTCGGTATAGGAAAATTATAACTTTCATTATTAACGTGGAAGAGGAAGTAGTGGAAAAGATACATAAATGTCCAAATCTTGACAAACAGATGCAACCATAAGTGATAAAGAATTTATTTTTGTGAAATATTGATTTCACATTTCTCTTTCAAAAGTCAAACTACATTATTTGTGAAATTCAGTTTTTAACTGTACTAAGGAACATACAGTAAGAACCAAGTTTTAGATGATGAAATTAAAATTCCAACCATTAATGAGTTTCATCATTGAACTGAACATGTCTTTAAAATGAACAAACTCAATTTAAACCAAAATAAAGAAATATCACCTCATTCAAAAAATGTGTTTAGATTTAATTACTTAGCTGTTCAAGATTTATTAGCTGAAAAAAAATAGCCATAATGCAACTTTTAAAAAAATGAATTTTTTCGTTTATAATGTTTACCTTTTTCATATGTACAGTCTGAAAATTAATTTAAAGTTTTCTCTCATGTTGTGAAAATAGGCTATGAATACTTAAACCACATTATTAAGTTAATAATATTTTCAACAAAAAAAACAGGTTTCATTTAAGGTAAGATTGGTGCATGTATTTTATTTTGTACTGTAAAATCCTTCAAAGGATTGTAATGGTGTTTCTTTTTTACTGTCTTTCAAGATAATTTATGTAAACATATAATAAGGTACACTTTTTAACGTAGTTCTCTATATTTTTGTTTTCTTACCTGTCAGGGTGCTTTAGAAATAATTGTACCAGATGAAAACTTTCACATTGCTCATAAAGACTATGATATCTTTGCCCATGGGGGAATGCTTTTCTGGCTTGTCAGCTCTATTATTTTTGCTGCAGTAAGTACTCATTAAAGATGTTTTAATGTTAGTATGTATGTTCTAGCTTACTAATCCTCATTTTCACACTTGGCAGAGGTTTACTCTTTTATTTTAGAAAAAAAAATAGTAACTTAATAACTTCATGCAAACATATCAAGGATACAGTTTATTTATTTAGTAAGGTTTGAGTTACTTACATTAAAGTAATTACGTTAATCTGCACACACACACACACTTGTTACCTGATTTGCAATAAAGTTATATTTGCATATCACCTCAAATGAACCTTTAAAACTTCAAGAAGAAAAGATGTGCAATAACTAAAGATGACCCAGTTGCTGCATAAAACAACACAACACATGTAACCTGCAGCACTATAAAACAACACAACACATGTAACCTGCAGCACTATAAAACAACACAACACATGTAACCTGCAGCACTATAAAACAACACAACATACATTGTTGTTAACTGTATTTATACTTTGTCTCGAATAGTGACCATATCATCCATGTTGGATATAAAAAATTGTTCAGTTTAAGAGTTATTTTTTAGTTTATTTAGTGATTTAATATTTAATGATTATTTAGGTTTTGTAACAAAGGTGTTAAAAGTTGATTAGTTTAAAATTGATAGTTGTCTAGTTTCATTATGTAACTCTGTATGAGTCATATGTTGTGTATGAAGTTTAATTGTTGAACTAGGCTTTCGTAATATTGCTGATGTCATCTTACTCGAAGCTTCCAGGTTTTTCTCATTACATGTAATATTGTTGCTATTAGAGGGCTAGAAATTTCTAGATTTTTCTGTCGTGTGTTATAAATATGTGCAGATACAGAAAGAAGTTGAAATTAGTAAAAAGTGAAGTTAGACTGCATGATTCTTAGTTTAGCCGTAAAGGGCAATGTCTAAAGTGAGTTTCACCATTTGTATTCTAACAACAGAAGTAAATAATAATAATTTCTCTCGTCGAAGGGTGTCCTAAAGTAATTGAACCCGCCGGTGTAGACTTTGACGAAAAGGAGACAATTATTTAAAGCTCTGAATACAACTGTGGTAACCAATAGTGTAATGAAGTTTTCTATGTTTGACTTGTTTTAAATATATAAATTATTTTAAAAGAAGTTGATTGTGTGCTGTCTGTTTATTGTTCAAATTTGTTGCCAACAACTCACAGGCACCTACTGTAAAGAATTAGACCCCCATAAAACTGACATTTGGTGAGCTAGCCAGGATTATACAGTGGTAAACAGTGATAGAAGAAGAAGATGTGAACAACAGCAGAATTACAGCTATATGTGCACAACTATAGTGGTGGCAAAAATAATGTAGATATTACAATCATGCTATATAACCAGATTTATCACCACAGGGGGAATTCCCCCTTGTACACCCCCTGAATTCAACACTATTCTAAAACAAAAAAAGCACTCATTTTATTTTATTTTATTATTGGCACTTTGTTTAACATTGTCAATAATCAGTATATTTTTCATTAAAGATATATACATACATACCCATATATATATTTGTTGTTATTAATTTGATGTTTTTTTTTTTTTATCTGTGTACAGGTGTATTTTATAATTTTCGTTTTACCATGGACAAAACTGAGACAAAGATTGGCTCTTCCCTGTAAGTATCTATTTTTGGTTAAGTGTAGAATGTATGTAGACCTGAATAACAATGACGTTGGATTTCCTTTTCAGGTTTGATTTTTCCATAAAGAATATTGGAAAGTTGAGTTTCCAAAGGAATCTCCTTATACGACTAAATACATCAAGTTGTCAAATCTGTTTTTTTCTTTCACAAGTAATTAACTTTTAATATGTACTAAGTTCAAATGTTATGTGTCAGAGTTCAGAGTATGAATCAAACCTTTAGATTCGTCCAAATAAACTAAACAAGCTCTTTCTGTATGTTTACTACTGTATGTTTACTTCTAGAATTTAAAGATATCATTGCAATTATTGAGTGCGTAACATAGTCTGCAAGAATAAAACTTTGTTACTCACATATTAGTTTCTTGTTCATAATTATCACAGCAACTAAGAAATAAGTTGTATGTAGTTCAATAAAATCTCAGTCTGTTGACAATACTGTTTCTCATTTCAGCCAAAAGATCATTTTACTGGTATGCGTTGTTTTTGACCTCAGTGAACGGCATTCAGGCTATCGGTAGTGGACTGATATATCATGGAGAGATTGATGGAATTTGGTACGTAATGCAAGCTGAAATTGGTCTCACAATTTTCTGTTTATTTTATATTTTACTAATTTCTTAGCCAAAGGAAAAGGAATACCTACAGTACCTAGTACTATGTAAATCTCAAAAATGATCTTGAATACACTTGTTAATAGCGTATGAACAAAGCATAACATTAAATGTCACATAAACAACATAGTAAACATATGAAAAATAAAATCAAAACAGGAGAACGTTTGTTGTTTGCTCTTTATTGACAGAGCTGGGTAAATATTGGTATTTGCTATATGATTAATTGACAGGCTCATTAGTTGATAGGCCTGGCATGGCCGGGTGGTTAGGGTGCTTGACTCACAATCTGCATGTCGCGGGTTTGAATCCCCACTAAACATGTTCGACCTTTCAACCATGTGGGCATTAACAGTCAATGCCAATATTCATTAGTAAAACAGTAGCCCAAGAGTTGGTGGTGGGTGGTGATGACTAGCTGCCTTCCCTCTAGTCTTTCACTGCTAAATTAGGGACGGCTAGCGCAGATAACCCTCGTGTAGCTTGGCACGAAATTTAAAAAACAAACAAACAATCATTAGTTGATTACTATGGTATTCCAGACAACACAATATGTGTCCCCCCCCCCCCCACATACAAGGAAGAAAGGGGTGCACTAGCTTCATAATTTTCTGAACCATTGGAGTTTTTTAACATGGTATTAATCCTGCTATTATCACACTGTTTTTGTTTTTTAAAGTAATGTTTTGAATTACCCTTCATTTCAGACATTTTCTGGTGGTTACCATTTACGTATTTTGTGAAAAACATGTTTTCAATTTTAAAAAATTTTGGCACAGTTTTTTTCCTGAAAGTGTCTTTATATTTCGTACTTGGTAAATGAATCACTAATGTTGACTAGAGATGACCACTTGGTCACCAGTTTGTTTGTTTTGAAAATATGCCATAATCCCCTATTAACTTCGTGTATGTCGTATAAAATGATGATCAAAACATGTTTTGCTACCACCAGTAAGGGTAATAATGTTTTTATTTAAAATATATCACAATAGTAGTTTCCATTTCATTTATGTATGTTGTTTGAATAGAATAAACATAAAAATAATTTTAAATAAAATATGAGTCGTAAGAATACTTTGTAGTCTCTTATCACACTAAACAGTAAACTTAACTGATTTGATGATGATTTTATTGGGTGAACATAATAAAAAAAACAATAGTAAATACTGTTAAAAAGCATAAGCACTAGTTTAAAAAAAGAACGAAATATCAACAAGATACCATTACTAAGCCTTAAGCAATCTCTAATTATCTGTCTTCTTCGTTTCTTACTGTATATATATATATATATATTCCTTAGACTAGGTAAACTGGTTAAAACTTGAAGATGACAAAACTTTCTCCATATTGTTAAACTTGTAATAATGTTTTCTTTGTTCTGCATAGTCCAATTTTATTTATACTTTCTTTATAGCTACTTTCGAAGCTGTGTTTTATTATTAAATGATTAAACTACTTGACAGGGCATCGTAACAAGATTTCAACCAAGATCTGTACACATATTTTAGATATATGAAAAACATCTTTATCGAGAGAATTTCTAACTTCTGAACAAAGAAAAACAAAATCAGCAACAAGTTTATGTTATAATAGCTGCAGGTGTTCTGAACAATACTAACTAATAAAAATAGTTCTATAAAGTCTAGACACATTCTTAAAGTGTTTGAAAAACAAGGCACAAATATTTACAGTGACAATGATTAATTGGCATTCATACCTTTCTATTAAGTTATATATAATCAGTTATTGGTTGAGACCTTGACTAGATTATTGTAGACTCTAACTGTGTTGCTTTCAGAAAACCTCAAAAAAAAATTTGGTAATTAAATAGCCCAATCAAAAAAAAAAACTAATATCTAATAGTTTACTTTTAACTTTTTCATCTTGTAATTCAAACTATCAAGACGATTGTTTTTTAACTTTGTGATTCTCTTTAGCATTTTTTTTTTCAGTTAAATTATTACCATTGGACGACAATAAAAAGTTAAATTGTTATCAGATGTGATCATTTGTTTAACCTATTATTTTTACTGTCATTCATTTGTCTGTTTTTATGTAAACTGAAAATTTTCAGTGTTAAAGAAATATCTTTTTTCAACCCTAGTTTGGTGGATGTGACAACCTACATATATTTCACACTTTTCACTCCCTTGGTATACTCAACATTTCTAGCAGGATTTTTCAGGTTAGTCACAATATACACCTTATCTGATGTAAATATGTTGTTGTAATATACCCTTTAATAGAGAATAAAGTACAGGGTGTCACAGAAGTCTTTTTTTTTTCATTGCACATACATACCCACATGTAATATTTAGAGCAAAATCTTACCAAGTTCTCATGTTAGAAGGAAAAACAATTTACATGATGTACAAGGTGCCCCACAAGTATGGACCTATAGGGAAATAGACATTATATTCTTAAAGTTAAACCTAACACATTTCTAATGTCAGATGTACATATTTTAGAAAAGAAAATACCCTGATGGCACAGTATACCAAGAATTGATATGTGTATGGCCGTTAATGGTATGCAATTTGAATAAATAAATGGTGTACTTTTTCCTATGGATCCGGGGGAAAGAAACATGTCGAACTAAAGCATGTGTTACTAGATCTCCTAACAGTTAGTAAACATGATGTATTATTTAATAGTACAGCTTTTCATTCTAATTTTTCCTGAAAGATTTTGAATAAGAAATTCCCATACCTTAATGTGACTAACATCACCGAGTTTCGACATACACTTGTTTTTTTTATCTTGTTGGCCACATACTTAATTGTCACTTAGAAACACCCCTTTTATTGGAATAAATCTTCAACATACACCAAATAAAATTTTGAAAATGGCATTCATGATGAATTGGATTACCTCAAAAACTGGGATTAGTAAGTAATTTGTACAAGAAAATTAAGAAGCTTAGTAACAAAGTGAACCAAATAACTGTAGAAAGATTAAGAGATAGTACTTACCCAACAATACCCTACTACCCCTTGATATCAAGCAAAATAGATACTGTTTTAAAATGCAATAAAATTAAACCTACTTATAAGCCACAGAACAAACTTTTAAATGAGTTTTAACAAAGTAAAAGATACGATAGAAGCCCACCACAGACAGTGTATTTATTCCACTACTTCTTGTAATCGTGCGTATACTGGTCAAACAAAACAGTCTCTTACAGTTAGAGTAAAGAAACGTGAATGCCACTGTTGTAAAAAAAAAACTGGAAAATTGGCTTTAGTGTCACATGTTCACATAACCAACCACAAAGTTTATTTTGATCAATCATTGCAGAATCCAAATTCTTCAATCACTGTAACACAGAAAATAGAGAAAACATGCTCAATGATGGAATGGAATTTAAACTCAACTCTATTTTGAAGTTTCTTTCTTCAAATCAGTTTTTGCACTTTACTGCCATTTCATCCTTCTGTGACCATTTTGAACCTGAACAAACGATGTGTTGAGAATAGTGTTACTCCATCCTTTGAGAATAACAGACTGGGTCTGTTAAAACTAGACATGTTCTTTTGTATGTTTTTCTAATTCTTTAATTATTTTTGACTTTATTAAGCTGGTGTATTATTATGGTTTTTTTATGAACTTCCATCAGGTATTTCCTCCTCTTTAGATAGATTTTTATCTTAAAAACACTATTGTGTCTGATCTAAAATATTTTTATGAGATGGATACCCATTCAGTACTAAACAAGTCAAACTTCAGTGTCATATTAGTGAATTGTATCACTTAAAAAGCATCTTATAATTACTTGTATTATGCTATAGATATTGTGTCTGTGTGTATAGACGATAGTAGAATTTTAATTCATAATTTCTGTGTTATAGTGTGTCCCATCCTAGTATCCTGTTTTCTTACAAAGCACAGGTAGATGATGTGGGAGATGATGACATTGTGAGCTTGCCGCATCACCTGTCTTGTTCCTCTCTGAAGACAGACTCTGACTATATTTACCAGGTAAATACTGTGTGCTTCATAATTTAATCAAGAAAGCACATCTTGCCAAAATACAATAGTTTACATTTACTAGGCTTATTAAATACCTCTGTGTTGGTTATGGTATGCACAAGACTGTGCAGGTCTTTTCAAGTAACATCTTTGATTTATTTGTTAGTGACAAAAAAATAAGAGCTTGTGGTACTTCCATGTGCAAGAAAAATTGATACAAGATAATATTTATATAACATTTAAATGCCTTAGCAATTAAAGATGCTTGGACTTTTGATGATATTTCCAAGAATGTTTATATGCACATATTTTAAAGAATAGTTGGCTTAAATTGATAGATTGAATATCTGTTAAGAGATTATTGGTATCTGAAAAGAAAGCACTGAGTCGAACAAAAAAATATTAGGCCAATGCGTAAAATGTAAGTTATAACAAAATGATGTCAGGATAATGTTATAAAAATGCTAATTATAACAACAAGATATCATAATAATGCCTTGAAAATCATCATTTTAACATAAAGATAGCAGGGCAATGCCCTGAAAATGTTATGTGTAGCTATAACTTAAAAATATTAAGGCAGCCTAGAATGTTCTAAGTTTGACATCAAGATTTAATATCTGTTACAAATTTTAAAGATACAGTGTTTATACTTATATTTAAGCCTTTCTCTGTAACAGTTTTTCTTAACGTTATTTATTAAACATGTATGCAGCACATTTTATCATACACGTTCCATTAGATGCTTTTTGGTGTTACTGTGTTTTTAATACTTATTATAAAACTCAGTTTATTTATTCCTTAACATTTCTACACTTGATTTGTATACTCCTGTAACTTACAGACCTAAGTTTACAAATGATGTCCAAATAGATATACCTCACTATTTGTACTGTGACTAACATAAACTTAAACTTATTGGTATAATTCCACAGCTAATTGATTGAGGAACATTGATCCTAATATTTCACTAATAATAAGCTAATTTGTTAATATTAAGTGGACTGGAGTTGGCCTTATTCTCACCAAATAATTTAAAAGAACCTGCCCAACAAAAGAACAACATTAAAACAATTGCATTGCCCTTCTTTCTGTATGTTATAACTCACATTTTCAAGGCATTGCTCTGCTATAATTGTATATTATTTAACATTTTTATACGAAAATTCTAGACCTACTTTTATAAACTTTTGACCTTAACAACATGCCCGCTCAAGCTGACATTTAAATTAAAGCACTGAAAATACAGTTTACTACACTGTCACCTTCCTGGATTTTGAAGTCCTTTGAACAATTCTAATACAAAAATAAAATATTATACAAAACTATCCATTCATCAATTCTTCATCTTCTTTTTGGGGTTTTCTCTTCCAAGGCCTATAGCATACATCTGGGATAGCATCCTGACTCTTGTTGTTATTTTATTATTTATTTGTGCTATTTTACAATTTTATACAAAATTCCGAAATTTTTTCTCCAACTAATGGGCCCGGCACTCAATTAGGGCACTTGACTCACAATCTGAGGGTCACGAGTTCAAATCCCTGTCTACATCAAACATGCTCG